GCTTGGCACCATGGCTAGAACGACACCCTTGCGACTGAAGGATTCCCAGGTTTGTATCCAGCTGATGGCCACACTTGGAGTAGAGGGCTTGTCCACCCGTAGAGGGCGTGCAGGAAGCAGCACATCAAAGATTCTCTCACAACAAAGATATTTCTCTCTCTCTCTCTCCTTCTCCCCACCCTCTCTGAAATCGATATATATATATATATATATATATATATATATATATATATATATATATATATATTGATTTCAGAGAGGAAGGGAGGAGAAAGATAGAAACATTAATGATGAGAATCAATGATTGGCTGCCTCCTACACGCCCCCTACTGGGGATCGAGCCTGCAACTCAGGCATGTGTCCTTGACCAGAATCAAACCCAGGACCCTTCAGTCCACAGGCTGACACTCTATCCACTGAGCCAAACTGGGCTGGGGCCCCGACTCGGCCATTCTTAAATGAATCATGGTTGCCTCTAATGGCTCTAAGTTGTATTTCCCTGATGACCTCTGGGGGTGAGCACCTTTCATTTACTGGGATAAACTGGCTACTTCTTTGGAGAAGTTCTTGTTCAAGTCTCTTGTACACTTTTCTATTGGGTTGTCTCATTGATTTGTAGGAGCTCTTTACATATTCTGGACACAAGCCTTCTGTCAATTACATGTCTCACAGATATCTTCTCCCACTCTGAGTTTGCATTTTTGCTCTTTTAATTGTACATTTGGTGAACACAAGTTCCTAATTTGAATTTAATCTGATTTATCAATCTTGTTTCTTAGCTAGAGAAGTGTACCAATGATGAATACTAGCATTCCCCAGGCCCCCAGCCCCACTTCCCCATCTCTTCTGGCTTTCTCCCATATGAAGTCACCTCCCGACTCCGCACATCACTCATCGCATGGCCTGTTGACTTCATAACAGGACCCCAGCATACGCTCCTGTGTCTGGCTCTCTCCACTCAACATCACGTTTGGGAGACTCACTCCTGCTGAGCACTTGTAGATCCCTCGTACTTGCTGCTGCACTTACCTGTTCTATTCTGAATGGACACTTGGGTTGTCTCCAGCTTTTGGCTTTTACAGACAGAGTTGTCATAAACATGCTGTCCATGCCTTTTGGTGGACATGTGTATGCATTTCTATTGAATATTTACTTGAGTTGACAGCTGGGGCCAAGGGTAGGGATAAGTTTAGCTTCAGTAGACATGCCAGACAGCTTTCCAAAGGAAATGTCCAAAATTTACTCTTTCTCTAGTGCACCTACGTGGGTGTCTGCTGCTCGGCATCCTGTTCTCTGCCTGTTCACGCTGTGGCTGTAACTTGTAATTCTCTGGTAAGAAGTTACGCATCTCTTTTTGTGCTGATTGGCCGGGTGGAGAACCTCTTGCCAAGGGCCTGTTCCATCAAATGGTTATATTTTTCTTATTGATTTGTGGAGGCTGTTGATATATTCAATATAAGTATTAATATATAGATATAATTTTCTCCCCTCTTCACTGCCAGTGGTGTCTTTTGGTGAAGAGATGGTCTTTATTTTTCAGTGTTCAGCCTTCTATTAGACTCCGCCTCTCGGAGGAGCCTACTCCCTGTGGGTAGGGTGTTCTGGGAAGGGCAGGGGGGGCTCTGTCACCCTGTCCTTGGGAGGACCGTGTGTGGTAAGGTTTGTGAGTTTGTGGCAGTGTCTGGGAAAGGGCTCCATGCCCCATGGGGTGCACTTGCAGTGGTGCACAGGGCCCTTTCTGGGGGGACAGCCTGGGGATGGGCAGGCAACAGCTGAGCCTGGGCTCTCCTTTGGGGCCTTCCCTTGGCACCTTCAGGCCCAGCTCCCTAGGTGATCCTTTCTTGGAGGGTCAGTGGGCACACCTGCCTCACAGCAGCTGTGTGATCCTTGCCTGGCACTGCCTCTCTGGGCCTGTTTCCTCCACTGGGAGCTGGGCCCTAACCTCTCAGAGGGAGGCTCCCCTGAATGGGTCCCCTGGGCATGAGGAGGTGCAGACTGTCTGTGTGTGGAGGTGACTGGGACAGGGGCCTGGACATGGGGGCCTTGGGAGGCTTAGTTGTCTTTGTCCTTGGCACCGTGTTTGAGGATGCGGGTGAACTCCACGTAGTTGAAGTTGCCTTTCTTGACAATGGGAGCCTCGTGATACATCTCGTCCACTTCCTCATCTGTGAAGCGGTCACCCATGGTGGTGAGCAGCTCCCGAAGATGGTCCTCATGGATAAAACCTGAGGCCTCTTCGTCGAAGCAGGCAAAGGCATTGTGGATCACGTCCTCGGGGTCCGTGCCATTCAGCTTCTCCCCAAACACGGTCAGGAACATGGTGAAGTTGATGGGTCCAGGGGCCTTGCTCATCATGCCCTCCAAGTACTCATCCGTGGGGTTCTTCCCCAGGGAGGCCAGCAGGTCATGCAAGTCCTCCTTGTCAATGAGGCCATCTCGGTTCTGGTTGATCACGTTGAAGGCCTCCTTAAACTCCTGGGTCTGGGACTGGTCAAACATCGCAAAGACACTGGATGTGGCCTGCTGTGGCCGCTTCTTGGTGGTCTTGACCTTGGCTCGCTTACTAGACATCTTGGCTTCAGGTGGGTGGGGCTTCCCTGGTGCGGAGAAGGTACTCTCTCGGTGCGCAAAGCTGGAGCAGAGCCGGGTCGAGAGATGGTCTTAATTTCAGTGTAGTCCACTCGATCATTTCCCCTCTGGGGAAAGCACTTTTCATGCCTTCCTGGTTAAGAAAGCTCTGCCTATCCAAGTCATGAAGACATCCTCCTGTCTTCCTCTAAAAGCTGTACTGTCCCACCCACCTTCCCACTGGACATCACAATCCCCCAGGAAGGCTTTGGTCTATAGGGGGAAACTGAGCTCTCCTGATTCTTCCACTAGGACAGTCGGCTGTCCCGTCCATGCATGAGACGACCATCTTCTCCCCACGCACTGCAGTGTCAGCTCTCATAAGTCACTCCATGTACACCTGCGTTTTTCTGGACTCTCTGCATCTCAACTGCTTTAGGAGGTCTCAACCGGATTCATGTCTTGCCTGTCCTGCTAACGGGTCTGGGTACTTTTTACCCAGTGAGCCCCAACTTAGGCCTCACCATCCTCCCCTCCTAGAACTCCAAGGGCCACAGCAAGTCTTGGCATTCTGCATTTCCTACATTTTATAGCCTGTGGTGTGACAATTTCCACAAAAATCTGCTTGGGTTTTGACTGGGATTACACTGAATTTGTACATCAGCTTGGAAAGAACTGACATCTTCATAACAGCGTGCCTTCTCATCCGTAAACCTGGCCATCTCTGGTTATTTAGGCTTTCCTTCCTTCTCTCGTAAATGTTCTAGTTTTCAGTATTGAGGTCTTAAATGTCTTTACTGGATTTACTCCAGGGTACCTGATGCTACTATAAAAGGTATAGTTTAAAAATGTTCACTTGGCCCTGGCTGGCTTAGCTCAGTGGATGGAGCATTGGCCTGCGGACTGAGGGGTCCCGGGTTCGATTCTGGTCAAGGGCACATGCCCGGGATGCAGGCTCGATCCCCAGTGGGGGGGCGTGCAGGAGGCAGCCGACCAATGATTCTCTCTCATCATTGATGTTTCTCTCTCTCTCCCTCCCTCTCCCAAATCAATAAAAAAAATATATATATTAAAAAAAAAATAAATTAAAAAAAAAAAATTTCATTCGTAGCCCTAGCCAGTTTGGCTCAGTGAACAGAGCATCGGCCTGAGGACTGAAGGGTCCCAGGGTCGATTCTAGTCAAGGGCACATGCCTGGGTTGCAGGTTTGATTCCCGGCCCCAGTTGGGGTGCGTGTGGGAGGCAACCAATTGATGTGTCTCTCTCACATTGATATTTCTCTTTCTCTCTCTCCTGCTCCCTTCCACTCTCTCTGAAAATAAATGAAGAAAAAAAAAATGTCCTTGGGTGAGGATTAACAACAAAACACACACACACACACAAAAACATTCATTTGTTGCCACTGTATGGAAATGGGTTTTTATATGTTAACGTTTTATTCAGCAACTTTAATAAACAGACTTAGAGAAAGATGGTCTATGGCAGCCGTGGGCAAACTACGGCCCGGGATGAATAAAACTAAAAAAAAAAAAAAAAAAAAAGAGAGACCGTACCCTTTTATGTAATGATGTTTACTTTGAATTTATATTAGTTCACACAAACACTCCATCCATGCTTTTGTTCCGGCCCTCTGGTCCAGTTTGAGAACCTATTGTGGCCCTCGAGTCAAAAAGTTTGCCCACCCCTGGTCTATGGTGTAAGCCTTCCTTTTCCATTTCTCTGCTGGGAGTTCGTTTTCCTACACTGCTACATTTGCTTAGAATTCCAATACAATGTTGCATAGAAGTGATGAAAGCAGCTATCTCACTTCTTATTTAAAGTAATACCTACACATGACACACACACACAAAATTCAAACAGCAAAGAACCACTCCAAATGAAGTAAGTCTCCATCCCAGTGGTGACGTTATGAACTGATAATTTAAGTAAGTCTTCTGCTAGATGCTATTTTAATGGGAAACATACTTCTATCTCTTAAATCACTAACCACGAGTTAACATGTAGTCTTGCCTTCCCACATGCCGGGCACTTTCCGACACACTGAGGCGCATTCAATTAACCAGCTGTGGACAGTATCTGTTGATGTCTAGCTGCCAAGGGGGAGAGATTTGGTGCCTTCTCCCCCTCATCCCGAGTTTTGTTAAACTGCATCATGGTCTACCTGTGGCCGTTTTAAACATGGCTGTGGCCTTTTCTTTCTCTGCCTTCTGTGGCGTAGTGTGCCATCCATCCAGGCTGCAGATGCAGGCCCGGGGTTGGGTGTGAAATTCTAACAGATGACAGGTCACAGCAAAAACATTCCTCTGAGGAGTAAGGTTCTGAATGGTGCTTCTCCTGCATGTCCATCCCCATCCGGGGCAGGCATGTTGTGGCCTCATCCCTGACAGGCATAAGGGTTCAGGAGCCTCCCCTGGATCTCAGGAACATTCACGCTAGGGCCTGGGAGCTTCCCAGTTGTAGAGCGAAGACTGGAGACTTGGTCTGTTAGGTGCACCTCCCACCCCGGGGCTAGAAACACTCAGATCCACAGTCATCCGTAAGGATCAGTGTGACGCAGCCACAGGGATCAGAGCACCGGGGCCACCCTGTGTGAGCAGAGTGTGCAATAACCGACACCCCCGGAGGCCGGGCTCTCTGAAGAGGACTCAGATCTCTGCTGGAGCACGATCAAAGCCAACCTTTGAGGACTTCGTTGTACTTACATTTCGGAGGTGAGGATGGATAGTCATCTTTGAAGAGCATGCGTAGCTTAAACAAGCCTCCTTCCCAAGGGGTCTGTTGGGAAATGAAGCTGTGATGAGATGTGTGCCGCCTCTTGCTGCAGAGGCCCAGGAGGAGAGGGGCATGCTGCTGCTACACGGCCCCAGTGACCCTGCCCACAGCTCAATGACCCCACAACAGGACTGGCGGGACCTCCATGAGCCCTGAGGGCCAATGGGAAAGAGTCCTCCCTGGAGAGGAGCAGACAAGCGGCCCATGGCGGGGTGCAGGGTCTGTACCTGAGCAGCTAGGTAAGGACTGAAGTGAGCTCAAATGCAGACCCCCTCCCTCAGGTCCCACCTGTCCCTGGTCAGCCTCCAGCTCTTCAGTCCAACACTCCTTCAAAACTGGGAGGGAGATAGCTACAGCCCACCAGCCTCAGTCACCTAAGATAAAGGGCCACGTATGGGTTCAATGGAGGCTGGGGTGCATGCTGGGCCCTCAACAGTCTCAGTTGAAGCAAACCCAGACCACATTTTCTTGTGGACAAAGTCCTAATCCTGCCAGCTCAAGGCAAGGGAAGGAGACTGTCAAGAAAACACCATGGCTGAGCATCGTGGATTCTCAGGAGAGACCATGGAGGGGGAAGTGGAGGCAATGAGGTCTTAGCACAACCCAAAAGCCTCCGGGGTCTCCTCCTTCCCTTGCAGTCACCAGGAAGAGCCATATGCTGGGCTGTTGGAGACCCTCACTCCTTAACGCCTCAAACGCACTGGTTCTAACTGGCCCAGATACTCAGCGGAGCACCACCTTGGGAGGACTGTGGCTGTGTGTGAAGGATATGTGGGCCCCATGCAGCCACCACAGGTGGTCAGGGATTTGCCACCAGTTCAGGCTCACACACCCATGAGTGTTGCGGTCTGGGCTGGTTCAGGAGCCTCCCCTGGATCTCATGAACATTCACGCTAGGGCCCGGGAGCTTCCCAGTTGTAGAGCGAAGACTGGAGACTTGGTCTGTTAGGTGCACCTCCCACCCCGGGGCTAGAAACACTCAGATCCACAGTCATCCGTAAGGATCAGTGTGACGTAGCCACAGGGACCAGAGCACCGGGGCCACCAAGTTTATCCTGGGCCCTCAACAGTCTCAGTTGAAGCAAACCCAGACCACATTTTCTTGTGGACAAAGTCCTAATCCTGCCAGCTCAATGCATCCAGGATACATTCCCTCTGCTGATGCAGGGACGTGGGGGCGCTGTCAGGCCCCCAACTTAGAATCAGGGCTCAGTACATCCAGGATAAACTTGAAGGCCTGCGTGGTTCCTACAGCCCCTTCTCCATCCTGTCTTCAGGACTCCCTTTGCTCCCAAAGATGCAGCAGGATCTGGGCCTACTCCCCCTGCCGCAGCTCAGTTCCTTCCTTCAGCATTAAAACTGCCAGGGGTAGGTGGGGTGGTGCCACATGTCACACTAACCTTGTCCCACCATTTCATGTCCCCTCGCCTGTGTGATCACCAAGTTATGTACACTTGAACCTAAGTCCTTCTGAAGGGTCCGACCGTTCCCAACAGTCCACCCCACACCTGAGCACGGGTGCTTCTTACCCCTTTTTTCCCTGGAATGGCACACTCCCAGTTCATGAGGTTCATCGTGCCGTCGGGGTTTTTTGTGGGGACAGCTACAAAACCCTGCGAGAAAACCACACACAAGCGCATCAGTTCTGTGGCAGCTCATCTTCGCTGCCCACAGGAACCCTGTGCCTCCCACCCCATCAGGGAGAGGACCCACTGAGCTACATGGAGAAATCAAGCTTTCCTTACAAATGGGTGGTCTTTTCTCCAAGCTTTCCTCTCCTGGGCGAGTCTGCTGAGGGCGATCCCCGACATATTCAAAGTCCTGAAAGAGACAGCAGGAACGCGATCAGGAGGAAAACCTGGTTCCTTTGGCCCCTTCCCTCACCTGCCCAGTGAGCAGACTTGTTTGCAAGAAAAGTGGGTAAGTGAAGGCTCCCACATGGGCCATAGAGACCATGCATGCTCTTAGCAAGCGGCCCCATCCAGCGTTTGGTCAGGCCCCAGGCCCCGACTCCAGCCTTCTCCTACAGGCAGATCACCAGAAAAGAGGCCCAGGCCTCCTGGACACCTCCATGTGGGTGCCTTGTCAACTGCCTGGCCCCAGGGCTCCACGGCAACCCCTCACGCTCCATTACATGGTGACACAGAGGATCAGAGAGGCGAAGCCACAGGCGTGGGTCTCAGAGCTGCTGGGTGCTGTGCAGGAAGGGATGCCGAGTACTCCCGGCAGACACCTGGCACCCGTGCCCCCCAACCCCCACTTTAGTCACACCCAGCAGTGGGGTCCAGTCCCACCATCATACACACAGGAAAGGCAGGACCAGGTGGGGATACCCAGAATGCTGGCTTGAGACCTGGGAAGGGCCGGGATGAATCGCTTCCCTCTGCTGATGCAGGGACGTGGGGGCGCCGTCAGGCCCCCAACTTAGAATCAGGGCTCAGAATTCAGATTCAGGCCTAGCCAGGATGACCTTATTCTTGAAGGCAACCAAGAGGCAAAGTGCACCAGGGCAGGGGGCAGCTCAACTGCATTGTGGAAACGTCCAGACAGCTCACCGGGCCCAGCAGCCGACAGACCCACGTGTCCCCAGGGTCCCGGGCTCTTTCCTCTGCCCCCTCCACTTTCTCATCCTACAGCCCCACCCTGGCACTCCCCAAACAAGTAATGGATCAAGGCCCGTCTCCCATGTACTTTGGGAAAGTCAACAAAAGGGAAGCAGCTAACAGAGCCCAGGAACTCCTCGGAGCACCAGGCAGCAGTGAGACCTCAGCAGGCCTGGACCACAGACTCTCAAGGCTCAGTGCCTTTAGCTGTTCAAATGAACAGCCTGGAGCCCTCAGGTAAAGCAGCATCTCCAGGTGCCTGGCACACCAGACCAGACTGCAGGGCACTGAATCGTAACGTCGCCTCCAGCTGCCCATGAGAAAGCAGATGCAGAGGTGACACGGTCACAAAACCTGCTGGAGAATTTGACCCTAAGTGTGCTGGTTGGTCCTCAAAGTCCATGGAAACACTGAAGATACCTTGGATGAAGCACATGCATTTACCATAAACAAGGCTTCCCCAAGCCTTCAGATTGATACTGAGGCTAGGGGAGAGGTCTCCTCTCTGCCTCTGCAGGGAAAAGGTCCAGCACAAGGGCCTGAGTACAATTGCCCTCCACAACCACAACAGGGTGCTCAACCCTGTACGGAAAAAACACATCTCCAGCAGGGCATCACTCGACAGCAGCCGTGCTCTCCTGCCCAGCCTGGCCCACTGCCCCAGCCTCCACACAGGCCTGTTCTGGAGATAGGAACTGAGGTCCAGAAGGACCTGCCTTGAGGCCGGAGCCTCAATGCAAACCCAGGTGGTCTTCTGACGGGGGGTGGGGTGGGGGGTGGGGATGGCAGGCTACTCTCTCTCCTGCTGCAGTGCCCCTTGCTCAGTAACTACCATTTCAACCTCCCTACCCCACCCCACCCCACCCCACCCCACCCCAGGCTGATCTACAACTCCCTCAGCAACCCAGATGGCGCTCTTCACCCCAGTAGCCACACCACCTGACTGTCCTGCCCAGTCCCCCAAGGCTCACACTATTTGTGGAGGAGGTGTTAGGCCAGGCCAACAGTTCAACAGCAGGCATCAAATGCACATTCCCAGGCCCCAGAGGCGACTGTGAAGTCAGGAGCTCTGGGAGGCCCCAGTGCTCTGGGTTTTGGGCAGCTCTTGAACGACTATTTTCCCAAGAAGTAGGCACAGGAGGAGGGTATGGGGTTGCCTTTGCAGAAAAGCACTGTCGCCTCCAATCCCACCTAGGAACCCAGGTGTCTCAGGAGCCAGTTATAAACCGCCAGACCAACTGGATGTGGTACATTTTCAAGAAACAGGGATGTTTATGTTATCACAAGAAAAGTGGGGAAAAAACAAAAGCCCTCCGTCAAGGGTGACAGGTGCACCAACTTGGACTGTGGTCCCCAGCTCCAGCACTGTGACTCCAGAACACACCTTACCCAAGTTTAAGTCCAAAGTAGATAAACACCAGGCTTGCACCCAGTGGAACTGCTCACTGCACCACACAACCCCGAGCTCTGGTCTGCCCATTTCTTCCCCAGGGGGTGTCTGCCCAAACCACTGAGGTGCTCATGAAGAGCCTGACAGGATGCTGCCCTGGGGGCTCACAGGGGAGGAAGTTGTGTGCTGGGAAGCACTAGGTGCTGGAGATGCAAAGCAGCACCATGGGGGTGAGAGGCACCTGCTCTAAACAGTGGCCGCCTGGCAGGAGACTGTGCCAGGCAACATGGTTCAGGAACAGAAGGGCTGGTGGGCCAGAGGAGAGTGCAAAGGGAAGGCCTGCGTGAGGGACGTGAGGGCCTCCGGGGTGGTGCACAGAGGAGCAAACCAGCAGCTTCTGTCAGAAGTGGGCAGTGACAGTGGTGACTGTCTGGGAGGCTTGAGTTGTAGCCCTGATGTCGGAAAAGTCTTCATTTCTAAGTTTCTCTAAGTCTTCACTTCAACTGATTCTAAATGGCATGAGCCCATGTTATCCACATCCTCACCTCCAGGTTGGAGGGCACAGCACATGCTAGCCTCAAAGTACTGCCCCTGCCCCCAGCGGGCAGGCCCCTCATCGCTGGCCATGGCAAAGCAGACAGCACAGGCTGGCAGGATGCTTCTGCTGGATTAACACAGAAGTTCAGTGACCAAAGACAAGCAACCTGGGAAGCATTGTTTAAGTGAGGCACAAGGCCCTTAGCCAGGCATCGAAGCTGGTTTCTGAAGCCCAGGCCAGCTCTGGAACACTGAGCAACCATGGATACTGTGCAGGGCCACACAATGCTCCCAGGGCTCAGGGGGGCTAGGCCAGCAGGGTGATCCCCAGCGTGGCCTGCCTCCTGCTGACCCTGTGCCAGGACCCGCCTCTTCTGCTCTGAGGATGGAACAAAGCTGCACACGAACACCCTGTGCCTCGCTGTGGTTGTCCCAGGTATGCAAGGTTAACAGTGAGCGGCAGTTCCGCAGGAGTGCCAATGGACCAGATCAGGCCCTAATAAGACGCTTTCCGCCATCAGGGAAAAGAGCCACAGGTGTTTACCTGCAGTGTCCCAGGCATACACCTGTCTGCAAGATGGTGCTTCCACTCCTGGTAGCCTTTCCAGTCCAGGAGAAAGCAGCCAGTTTGTTACATTTTTAATTACAAAACAGAAGCCTCATTCAGAATCCCAGGAGCAGCTAAGTTAAGATGCTTCAGAGCAGCAAAGTTGCAGATGCAAAGATAAAATATCCATGAACTACTAGAGACAGCAGCCTGCGGGGCAAAGGCTGGGTTCCCCAGGCTTAGTGGGGAGGTCTGCCCATGAACCCACGCTTCTCAGATCAGCTCTGCTGGTTGACAGCAGAGACTTCAGACCCACTTACTGGCTTTGTGAGTGTGGCAAGTTGTTCATCTCCCCCCAACCTCAACTTCCTCATCTGTAAAATGGGCATAGGTGGCCCAGGTTGAAACAAACACAAACTCCCTCAGGGGAAGGTATGCACTTTGCCTGATCTCCGCCCAGGCTGCACTTCCGGTTCTTTCTCGACAAATCTCCCAGGATCCCAGGCTGTTTCAGAAGCAAGGTCCCAACCCCGAGAGTCACCAAAGACACAACAGCACGCACAACTCACCCCGGAACCACCCAAAAGGTCACAAGCAAATCAGGACAAACTAGTGTCCATCGCCTCTGCCTGTTGGACATGTTCTCTACCTAAAGGTAGCGATTCCTTAACAGCCAGCTACATTCAGAGCTGTATTCTTGGAAAAAGAGAAAAAGCCAACTTAGCCAACACAGTAACTTTGCAAACCGAGGAGCTAAGCATGCTTTCAAAATACACCAACCAAACCACTTAAAAAAACTGTGATTTAGGGACTGCAGGCCGTGATCCTCCTTCCCTTCCTTTCCCTCCTACTCACGAAAACATCAGTTCCAAGCTCCCTTCAGCGGGTACAAAGCCACCTTAAACACAAAAGGAAACTCTCCCTCCAGCCGAGCGCTGATGTTCAGGGTCCCACCAGCGGCAAGTGGAGCTCCGTGGAGGCGCAGGAAAACTCAGACTTGTTTTGCATTTCAGGCATCATCTCCCCCCCACCCCCAATCCAAGCAGCAATTTTGCAATCCAAGACTTTTAACTCTCCCCGCTGGGCCTCTCTGAGCGCCACAGGTTTGTGTGCGGACCCGTGACCCAGGAAACGCACGTCCCTCCGCGGAGGGGAAGCTGCTGTCAACCCCGCGTGGCTCCCCGGCCGCACCGCGAGCCCACGCCGGGGGGACGCCGACACTTTCACAAGGGAAAGCGACGGAGCCCCAAGGCCGGGACGCCGCCGAGGCCGGCCCAGCTGGGTCGCGCCGTAGCCCGCGGCGTCAACAGCCCCCAAGCGGACGGTTCCCGGGCGCGGGGTCGGGGTCAGGTCGGGGGGCGCGCAGGAGGCGGGGGTGGGGGCCCAGGGGATCGTGGGTGGAGGAGCTCGGCCCGACGACGGCGGCGGAGGCCCGCGCTGCCGAGGTCTGGCCCCCGTCCCGCCGCCGCCGCACCCTGTGCGCCTTCCACCTGGGCTCACCTAGGGCGGCCGCGGCCCGGCGAGCGAGGCGGACGAAGCGTCGGCGACAGAGGCGGCTCGGCACTTCCTTTGTCTCGGGACTTCCCTCCCGAGCCCGCTCCGCGCGCAGCCCGAGCGCTCCGAGGACCCCGGCGCGGGCGGGGCGCGGGCGGGGCTTGCGGGGTCTGTCCGCCGCGTGCCCATATCTCGTGCCGCCACCGGCGCCCAGCGTCCCGATCGGCCCTCGCCGCCGCATGCCACGTGCTGCCCGCGCCCCGCCGCCACGCGTCCGCGCCCCAGGCTCGCCCAGAGAGCCCAGCCGGGGGGCGGCTTTCCAGTCAGGCGGCACCCTGGACACCTGTGCTCTTAAAGGAGCCGCATCCACAATGTGAGGGAGTGTCTGCAAACTCCCCTTTGCGATACGCGCGTCCACTCGAGGACACGCCGGTAAGCAGCGGGGGGAGGCGGAGACCGAGATCTCCAAGGGCTCCCCGGATGCCCCGCGGGCACCTTTCCGGGCACGGGTCCCATTGGTCTCCTTAGGGCTAAGGCCCAGGGTTGGGGGACAGAGGCCACCGAGGCCTAAGGAATCCCAGAAGCGTCGCAGCACGGCGGCGATCCTCCGATTACGGCGCCCTGTGACACCCTTTGCAATTGGCCAGTTCGGAGCGCTGGGTGGGGCGTATGTCAAATCCGTCCAATGAGCTGACGCGGTACAAACGGCCCCGAGCGGACCTGACCGACGGGAAGAGAATTGCGGACGCTCCCTAACTCTGGTGTTGGCCCAGAGGGAGGGGGTTCCGGAGCTGCCAGCCGGCGGGGAGGGGCCAGCTGGGAGCCCCCCCCCCCCACTTTCTCCCGCTCCCCCTCTCCCCCCCGCCGCTGCAGTCAGGGTCTGGGGCCCACCCCTAGCCCCGTGGGAACGCTAGGCACCTCTCGGTGGGGCTGCCCCCAGCCCCAGCCCCCGGGCCAGCTCTTCTAACCAAAACCCAGCTCTGGGTGGGGAGAGGGCGCCTGATGGGTCCGCCTTCTCAGCCCGTCTGTGGGCGTTTTGGGATCAGGCAGCGGTGGGTGTGGAGGGCTTCTGGGCGCCAGAGGCGGGGTGGGGGCCCAGGACAGTGGAGGCTACCTGCTTTCACTCACTGCCCCCCCCCCCCCACGTCCCCCCATCTCCCTTCTTTCTCTCTCCCTGCTTCCTTCCTCCCCAGAGTCTCCTATTTGGTCCCGGGGTGGGGACCACAGGTCCGGTATCCTATGGCCCACATCTGGCCCAGTGCTCCTAGCAAATGCTGGTGGAGGAGTTCCATGTGCTCCCAGCATTCCTTTACTCTGCAGGAGTAGAATGAGGTTGGGGGTCTTGTGGGTGTGGTGGCTCTGCCGGCTGAAGAGGGGGGTTGCCTCGGGTAATTCCTGGTCAACAGTGGCCCAGAGAGAGGGCCTGGTGGTGGTCGTGACCAGGGTCTCAGGTGACAAAGCCAGAGGGCCTGACCCCCTTGAACAAAATGCGAGCATTCCGAATCCATCCCAGACTCCGAATTCCAAAGGGGCTGCCGGCTTCTGGGTTCCCCAAGCTGGGCCTGGACTGGGGAGGTGGCCTCCATCCTTCCCTTCACCAGGCAGCTGCAGGTCTCCACTTTGGGGTGCAGGACCCTCAGGGATTTGTGTGAGTCGCCTGTTCTTGGGGCTCCCAGCTTTTAGTTCATCGATGGTCCTGGAACTGGGCATTGTAACAGTTGTCCCAGGTGGACCTACTGTTGTAATGTACCCCGTGAATCACACAAGGACGCCTCAAGAAGTCGAATTAAGGAGTCACATTTATTGCAAATCCGGGACTACGAGGGGGCATTTTGCTCTCCAAATCTCGCAGTCATAAGATGGCCGCAACACCAGATTTATATAGGCAAAAATCACAAAGGTATCGATTACATCCCAGGGTTTGGAATGAGGAACCCGGTTTGCACAAAGCAGTAAAAGAAGCGAAATTGAGCCGATTAGTTATCTACAAAGATTAATGATAGTTTTGGGTCTTCAGACCACTGAGTTGACAGAAACACATTATCTAGAGCCCTCGGGTCTTGGGACCACTGAGTCAATGGAAACACATTATCTGGACCCATCGAGGCAATTTAGAGTAATTGTGCTGTCCTGGTCCCCAGGTACAGAAGAATGTGCTTCCTAAAACCAGTATGACCACAACCAATGGGATATTCACATTACGAATCAATAAGGCATTCAATCGAATGGGATGATTTATATAATTCAGAAAATCAAAATAACTTTTCTATTATTTTAGCAAGCAAATAATGACAGAAGCGGAGTCAGCAGGGTTAAAATATTAAACATTTACCCAAACATGGTTGCTACCATGCTTCACTACTGCACAGCACATGGCTACCGAGCTACATTGGAAGAAAACAGCTTCCTGCTGAGGCACAGAGGTCTCTGGTTCCAACCCCATCTTTCTCACTCAGATTCCAGGAGGTTTGCACAGGGCTGCATGGGGACGCACCCAGCAACTCGCAGGGAAGAGGTGGTGGCCATTGCTGGAGTAAAGAGAGGAGAACCAGGCCCATGTGAGCTCAGCTCAGCTCAGGGGGGCGCAGAGAGGGGGTAGTGCTGACCAGGTGGGAGTGGCCTGGAGGGGTAAGGAGGGGTGCAGTTTGAGGCTGACCAGGTGTGGCATGTCAGTGTGGAGGGCCTGGGCCAGATCCTGTGGGCCCTGTGGAGTCATGGAAGGTTGTGGAGCAAGAGCTACAAGACAATGTCCTGGTTCCGTTTGTGTGTGGTGAGGGGGTATTTGGAGATGGAGAAGACGCGGCCCCTCAGCCCTGGTTGCTGAGTTCCAACCAGCAGAGAGAACTCCCATCCTGGTGGGAAGCAGTGTGAGGCCCAAAGGCCCCCACGCTGGAGGGAGAGTGTGGGGACTGGCGGAAGGAGGAGGGAGCACTTACCTGGAGGGAGGGTTGGAGGAGGGCAGGGGGTGGGCAGAAAGCTGCCTCAGATCTGGTTTCCTCAGCCCAGGACCCTGGCACACATGTTTTTTGTTTTTTTTTCTAATATATTTTATTGATTTCAGAGAGGAAGGGAGAGGAAGAGAGAGATAGAAACATCCATAATTTAAAATAGTATTTGCACATCAATATTTTAGTTATTGGCTTATGTTACTTTTAATTTTCTAAAGAACTTATTTGGAAGTTTTTATAGATCGCTGATTAAAACTGAGATGTTAATACTTACTAAAATGTAATGTTTTTTTTTTTTTAAGAAAACATCATTGATGAGAGAGGATCATTGATTGGCTGTCTCCTGCATGCCCCCTATTGGGGATTGAGCCCGCAACCCATGCTTGTGCCCTTGACCAGAATTGAACCTGGGACCCTTCAGTCCACAGGCTGACGCTCTATCCACTTAGCCATACCAGCTCGGGCGGCACACATGTTCTTGGTGATGGCTTGATCATCCATTCAAAAGTCAATTCACAGCATTTATCCAGCACTTACTTTGGCCTCAAAGAAGCACACTGCTATGTTGTAGACAGGGCTACATGGCAGGGAACGCGGGCAGCATCCACGAGCTGAGAGTGGCCCCTAGCTGACAGCTAGCACAAAAGCTGGGACCTTGGGCCTTCAACAGCAAGGAGCTGAATGCTGCCACCACCAGTGAGTTTGCAGGAGGCTCCTGAGCCTCAGGGGAGGACTGGAGAATGCAACCCCAGACGTGCAAGACTCTGAGCAGAGGACCCTCCTAAGCCTGGGCTCCTGATGTGCAGAACCTCTGATAATAGATGTGCCTCATTAAAAACTGCCAAGTTTGTGGTGATTTGTTACAGGGTAACAGCTAAGGAACACACCTGGTTAGACAGGTGGTCAGGGAGGTCTGTGAGGGGGTGGCCTCCAAACAGATCTGAAGGGGGAGCAGCATGCAGCTGTGGGGCGAGCTGGGGAAAAGGAGCGGGAGGTGGGGTGAGCAGGGAGAGGCTGTGTGGCTGGGGCAGGGGGAGCAGGGGGAAGGGTGGTCTGGGATGGGGCTGGAACAGGCAGTGGGACCAGACCTTACATGGCATTCCCAGTGCGCTAAGGAGGATGCTGTGTGTCCAAAGTGCATCAGGGAGAGGAGGGGGTTTCACTGGGCTCAGCCCCCTGCGTACAAAGGAGAAACTGAGGCTGCAGAGGGTGAGGGCTTTGTGGACAGTCGGTGAATATCAAACCCAGGAGGATTCTGGCTGATTGTCCCAGGTCACATGCCCACCCTGTGGGAGGGGGCAGTATGATTGGAAGCTGTCTGGAGTAGGAGCCCCGCCCAGATCATTCTTACACACCGCCCCCCCAACACACTTATCTCCTACTCCCAGCTCTCCCTGCTGCCTTTTGGGGGCCAAGCTGTGGGCACATAGTTTTGTGTGCAGGGCCCCTGCTCCAGGTGCTGAATGAAAAAGGAACAAGGTCTATATACAAGCAAATGAAGTTGGACCCCTACCCATACCATGTACAAAATTAACTCAACAGCCTAAACATAAGAGCCCAAACTATAAACCTCTTAGAAGAAAACAGGAGAAGATCTTCATGACACTGGATGTGACAGTCATTTCTTGGCTATGACACCAAGAGCACAGGCAGCTAAAGAAAAGAATAGATACATTGGATTCATTAAAATAAAAAACGTGTGCATCCAAGGACACAGTTAACAGTTGTAAAAAGGGATCCCACAGAATGGAAGAAAATATTTGTAAATTACATATCCGATGAGGGGTTAGTATCTATACTATCCTAGTCTAAAGAACCCCTTCAACTTAACAAAAAACAAACAGCCCAGTTCAAAGACGAGCAAAGAGTCTGAACAGACATTTCTCTAAAGAAGATACATAGGCGGCCAACAAGCACATGGAAAGAAGCTTAACACCTTTAGTCATGATGGAAACGCAAGTCAAAGCCACCAAAAGATACCACTTCACACCCATTAGGTGGTTTGTATATTTTAAAAATGGAGAATAATGAATGTTGGTGGAGATGCGGCGGTATGAGAAGCCGTGTGCGTCGCTGGAGGGTATGTGAAATGGTGCAGCTGCTGTAGGAAAGTTGGACTCGTCTCCTGGAGCAGGGGAACCATCCATCCTCGGAGCATCAAGAATCTCAACTTCCAGCTCTGGGGAGGGGGG